TCATCCCATGCCAATGGAGAGATATAAATAGGAGATGGCAGCTTGACAGAAAGGTTGCGGAAAAATACATATTCGACTAAGAGAGAGTACTTACACAGAGAGTTGATCTATCACAGAGAAGAGCGTATCATATTGACGTGAGGTTACAGTGAGAAGATCATCCATGGATCTTTTATGAAGATTTGTTCAGTTTGTGCATTGTGAGAGGCTGAGCAAAGGTCAAGAACACATCCTTATTGCAGAGCAACAAGAAGGTGTAATAGGCCTGGTTCGACGACAAACAGAGTTTGGAGTCTGATCACGTAAGTAGACAAATTAGTTCAATACAAGGATTTGTTGAATCTGATTGTGTAATTCTTATGATGGTCTAGTGGAAAGGCTATTACACGGATGTGGGCCTCGCAGACGTAGGAGAGTTGGTTCCGAACTGCGTAAACAAATCTTTGTGTCTTTGCTCGTTTTTGTTTATCCTGAATTGGTGTTAGAAAAGGTGTTGTAGCATTCTGAGAAATTTGCTTGCTGTGCTACAACACAATTTCCGACCATCTCCTGCTGTGTGAAGTTTGTGAGTGTCTGTGGTTTTCTATACTGTGCTGTGTGTGTGTGGAAATTTCAACACTTAAGGAGTACACATTAAAAAATTATGTAAAAAAAATCTCCTCCCCCCGTTTTTGAAAATTCTTCCCATTTTGACTAAGTGCTAAAATAAAGAAGTGTTAAATTGCATTTGAATTCCAATTTTGTCGTTGATGTGATAGGTAAAAGTAAGATATGATAGATATATTATTAGAGAAAAAAGTATGATGTGATAGGTAGGGTAAGAAAAAGTAACGGTAAAAGTTTTTTTAATAGAAAGTGAAAGTGTTTTGGTGGAAGCTAAGAGAAAAAAAAGAAAGAGGAAGTGTTTTGATGAACGGAGGGAGTATGAAATATGAGGCCGAAGATAAGCGAATTTTATTTTGTCAAATAACAAATATCAACAGACAAATAAATAAAATTTATTGAAATTTGCACTGAATAGGACTAAAACCTAAGTCATTTCCCATGTCAATGTAGGCCTTAAATTTTTGTATTCCTTAAATAGGACATAATAATAACTAGTGAGAAGAATAATGTCCAATAGGATGCTGGACATTTAGTTGAATAATGACCAATAGGTAATAATATAATCAATGGTCCTACATTGGGAAATAAAAACATATGGTCCTATATTGAGAAAGTCATTATGTTTTAGTCCTATTTCGGTAAATTACCAAAAATTTATAGCCACGACCGCTGAATGTTTCTTTGGTGGACCTAAGAGCATCTTTAGTGTTAGTTGCTTAAAAGTTGCTTAAGAATAATAAAATAAACTAAAGAAATGCTTATGCATGTGGCTTATGACATAGAAGTACAATACCTTCATTTGTGAGAGGGTTGCTTAATTCATGCCAAGCAACTGTTGCTTAACATTTTAATAATAAAAGATAGCCAAGAATTGAACAATATCTAACCAACCAGAACTAAAGATGCTAAGATCCACACTATTTTTTGTAGATAGTCTAACATGAGAAGTATTTTCTTCTGATCTCTTTTGTTTTGCAAAATAAAAAAATGTTGTGAGGGTAAGGTTTTTTGCAAAAACATGGAAGGTTTTGATTTTTAAAGGATTGTAGGAAAATATATTTCGGAGTTGAGTTTCCAAAAATGTTCTTAGATGTGATGTGTAAAAGTAGGTTTTGATGGGAAGATTAATTGTGAATATGAATATATGTGATGTGATAGGTAGGCTGATTTTTTAATAGAAATGAAAAAAACTTTTTAGTACGGATGAAAAAAGAAAGGAGAAATAAAGTTTGCAGAGACGGAGGGACTATGAAGGTTCACCTAAAGAAGAGAAGGTAAAGTGTGATTGAATTATTAAAATGGTATGAGGAAAGTAAAAAAAAAAAAAGTGACACAATATAAAAACTAAGGGATGGAGAAGACAAAGTGGAGGGAAGATTGAAGAACATGCTATTATTACCACTTCCATCTTTGTCACAGAGGCCGAAGGCTTCTTTGTATTCGGCTATCTCAACTGCAGTGAGCCGGTGATGAACTACCATTTTTGTTGATGCCCAGAAAACAACAAAAAGAAAATAATTAACCGATGAAAGTTAAATACTCCGTAAAATATTGGTAAATTTAATTTGCTTTGAAGTTCCTTTTCCCTATTTAAACAAACGCAGTTTTATTTGGGACTTTGCCCTTTCCTTGTTTGTGCGTGCCTCTCAAAGTCTAAATGCCTCCTTATATACTATGTTCGCTCCATGTGCGTGTGTCTATATATATATTCACTCCCTCTCGAAATATTTTTCCATGCGGCATTAATTACTCACTTGGTCTATATTTTTTTATTTTTTAATATATCTAAAAAATTATAATTGTCAAGGAACCAATTCAACCAAAAACTCAAGCTTATAGTTGTGGCCCAGGAAGAATTATTTATATTCTAACAATGCCTCCTCACGTGCAGGCGTAGTCTTTTTTCGAGCCTTGCACGTGAAACTTTTAATTTTTTTAAAACTGGGTAGCGCTGAGTTTCGAATACGTGACCTCTTAGTCAAGAAAGACGATACCATGTCAAGGAAACAATTCAATTAAAAACTCAAGTTTATGGTTGTAGCCCAGGAAGAGTTAGGCCCCGTTTGGTACAAGGAATTCAAATTACAGAATTGGAATTAAGGACTCAAATTTCAATTTTGGTGTTTGGTAGCACAAATATTATGTGGATTTGAATTTGATAGTGTGAAAAATGAATTGAAATTGATGAATTCAATTCTATGGAATTGAATCACATGAAATCCCAATTCCAATTTAATTCAAATTCCACCAATTCTGTATACCAAACGGACCCATATTTATATTCTAACAATAATGAACAATTAATATGGAAAAGAAAAATTACTCTCTATGAGAAAAGTTTTGGAGACACCACATACTTTGACATCATAATATTTTATAAATATATACACTCAAACAATAATTGTTTATCTACGTGTTTTCTAAGGTGTCAAAGTACTAAAAGTAGTGGCAATATATGATATCCCCTAGCAAATTTTAGTTTACTCCGCCTACCAATATAGAGAAATATAAGGAATAATGAGGGGAAAAAAAAGGGAACAAGAAAAGGCAAAAAAGAAGAGAAAAGATGTGATGTAGCATTGTAGCCATCCATACATGCAGGGAATATGTGCACGGCGTGTGACTATGGTCCGATGCTTTACTTACCAATTACCATACCTGGAACATAAATCATTTCTCAATGTAAGATTAAAACATAAGTTATTTGTACTAAATAAGACTATGGTCCGATGCTTTACTTACCAATTACGATACCTGGAACATAAATCATTTCTCAATGTAAGATTAAAACATAAGTTATTTGTACTAAATAAGACTAAATAAGACTATGGTCCGATGCTTTACTTACCAATTACGATACCTGGAACATAAATCATTTCTCAATGTAAGATTAAAACATAAGTTATTTGTACTAAATAAGACTAAAATATACGTAATTTATCAACGTAGGACTTAAACCTTTTATTCCCTAAATAAGACTTAAACTTTTTATTTCCTAAATTTGTACTAAATAGGATTAAAAATAAGTCATTTCTCAATATAGGACTTAAACTTTTTATTTCCTAAATAAGACTTAATAATGTCTATGAGAGGAATAATGTCCAGTGATGGTAGACATTTACTTGAATAATGACTAATGAATTACCAATAGTCCTACATTGGAAAATAAAAATATATGGTCCTATATTGAGAAAACTATTACTTGGTCTGTCCCTGAGTGTTCGTCCACTTTTGACTTTTGGAACTGTTCATCTAAGTACTTTGACTTATCAAATTCTCTTAATGTGTAAGCCTAAAAATAGTCATGTGTGATCTTGTTTGATTCGTCTTAACATATAGATTATTAATATATAATTTTTATAATTTTTTAATATACAAATTATAAGATAAAATAGATTAAAGAAGTGCATTGGATGGTGTGCAAAAATGAAAGTGGACAAACACTCAGGGACGGAGGGAGTATGTTTTAGTTCTATTTAGATAAATTCTCCATTCTTATTTTCATTAATTTGTAAATATTTATCTCAATATGAAGCAAAAAATTATTTGACGTATTAGAAGGTTTACCTTAAATTTGGCAATATAAAATGTCACTCGCATCTTCTGAGGATTCTAAAAGAATTTGGGATGGTTATGCACAACTGGATTGGACTACAAGATACTTGAGCTGAACCACATTAAAAGATTGAATTCAATCAATTAGTTAGTTCAACTCAAGAGCTTATATACCGATTATTTTGTTTTTAAACTTCTGATGTGGGATGACACTCTAACAGATTCATCCATATAACTTCGGCAACAATTTTCTCTCATCAACCGGTTTTATTTTTTTGGTGTCTCTTCTCTTTTTGAGGATGGATTCGGATGCTATTTGTCCAAGGTCATCAATTGTTTTTCCTAATCCAAATTCCAATTGTGATATTGTTCATGGTCATGAATCTCATATTTTAGGTAATTTTCATTTTATTATTACTAGGATTTTTTAAATCTTTGAATTTTACGTGTGTTTATTGTCATGATTCAGATCTCACTCTTAAGTAATTTCTGTTATGATATTAATTATATTTTCATATCCTGAAGTACTTTTGTTCTTGATTTCCATTTGTACTTCAATTCTATTCACCTAACGTTATTCTTAACCTATAATACACCTTAAAAGTTTGTTCACATGCTTGGATGTTTGTTTTTGTTTAATACACCTTAAATGTTTTTCATGTATGCCACGAAGTATTGTTGGTGAGGATGCTTAAGAGATGTTTAACACTTTATTTATTTTTTATTTTATTCAAAAAGTGAAAATAAATAAAAAAATAAATAAAGAGTTTTTTTTTGAAGGAAAATAAAGAGTTAAAAAAGGATAAAAAAGAAGCAAAAGAAAAGACGGAAAAAAAGCGAATAAGAAAAAAGAAAAGAAAGAAAAAAACAAAAAATAAAAGATAAGAGGGGAAAAAGAAAGGAGAGAAAGAAAGGGAGTATAAATTCTGGGAGTGCAAAGAGAAGAAAAACTAGAAATGAGGTCAATGTGATAAATAAAAATTCTGATTTTGCATTTTGGCCTAAAGTGACCTGCTCGTCACCTTGTAATGGGCAAATAAATTTTTAGTCAAAAGATGGTAAAATTTCAAGTAGTTTTGTCAAATATTTTAAATTTGATTCATGATTCGTATTCGAATATAATGATTCAAGTTCACATTATTCAAATACAAATTCAAATATTACTTTTGATTCGGATAGTAAACAAATACAAATACTAATAGGGATATATTTGATTCGGATGGCATTCAAATATTGAAATATATATGTATATACACACAAACCATGTTTTCAACATCAATAATCAACCAAACTAATATAGTATAAAGTGTACTTGATTTATTAAGAATTCAACAAGTTAACGTAACACGAAAATCTAAAGCATAAAGTTTTTAATAGTTAGATTTTATAAAATATAATTTGTGTAAGATGCAAATGTATTAATGTTTTTAGAGATAGGGTATATTGTAGTATAAGGAGTATTGTAAGTTAAATTATTCAAAATAATCGATATCGGTCTATCATATAAATTAAAAAGTAAGATTATTCAAATATTCATTTAGGATTCGTTAACTATTCGAACATTAATGAATTGAAAATACAAATTCAAATCTTATTTTTAAATCATCTCATATTCAGATTCGAATTCAAAAAAATTAAACAAATACCAATTCAAATATCTCCTTATTCTTTTTCATTCGATTTGTTTATGCCAACCCCAACCCCACATTGTTTTAAATAGGAACTGTTGTGACTACGGGTGCCCCTACCTCACCCCACATTAGTATGATATTATTTGCTCTAAGCCAAATTCTCACGGATTTGTTTTTGGACTCCTCCCAAAAGACCTCATACTTATGAGGTTAGGTAACCATATAAATTTTGGTTCATTCTCCATTCCTCTTCCGATGTGGGATTGGTTTGTATCCCAAGAGAGACCTCCTACAGCTAAGCTATCTATGGTAAGTGGAAGCTTTTTCAACATGTTCTTGATAGCTTTATTTTGTTTAATCCTTGATTGCCCTCGTTATGGGTTGGCACTATTTTTTGACAAACCACAACCACATAAAATAGATTAGATGCTCTCATTTGTGTTTTAGCATTTTCCTATGTCATCCTACTCTGGGTTTGTGTTTCCTGTGTGACAAGGGGAGTCTGAAGAGGAGTTGGAACGTCTCAGGTATCTTTGCATAATGGAGGTTATCACGAGCGTAGTATTTTGGGATACCTGGATTTTTTCTCGAGCTTCGTAGTTTACGGATCTGGGACACTCTCTAGCACTAAGACTCCTCCGTCCAGTATACTATGGCTGGCACTCTATACGTATATATATCACGCAGAGGGTCTAATGATGGGTGGAGAATGGAGTGAGAGAAAACTCGAGAGTTCCTGAAAAGAGAGATACAAGATCATGCAACATTCTTTATCTTAGCGTGAGGTTTGAAGGCTTCATATATCAGAAATATTCTTCTGAGTTGATTGATTTACAATCAAGTGATGATACACAAGTCCTGGTGTTGAGTATTGTGTTGCCATGGAGAAAAGGCTGAATTCACGTCCTTGGAAGAAACCTAGTGAGGGTGTAACGTGCCAAGGTGATAGGAGCAAACAAAGTTTACTACCAAGCCAGCGGATCATCATAGGGTCCTCTTCAGCTGATGTTTAAACCTCCAAGCCAACGTCTAGGCTTTGGGCCCAGTGTGTTTTTGGCTCAAATATTAAGTTATTATTCAATTTTATTATTGTTTATATCTAGAGCCCATGCCAATTCAGATCGTGTATCATCTTGCAGACTTATTTTTATTACTTTTTCCTTTGGTTTGACCTTGAATTGCTTATAAAAATAAAATTTAATTTTGAACAAGTTTTTCATTTTTTTTACAAATGGAGAATTTTGAAATAATAATCATTTTTACTGCGTTAATTTATCTTTATTTGCGTGGAAGAATATTTATTTTTAAGTAACTTAAGTAATATTTATTTTTTTATCGGTTCGTGTTACAACTTAAGTAATATTTATTTTTTCATCAGAGAGTAACATTTATTTAATAAATTGGCCACATTTTTTACGAAATAGAAATTCTAATCGAATCCATTTCTTTTAGATGGCAATATACATAATTTGATGTTAGATATGTAGTCCAAAAGAAAAAATTAGATAAACAACTAATTTCCATGCCAATAGAAGCCATAAGGCCATTATTTCTAGTATAGTGTTTATTATTTATGTAAGTTTTATTAGGTCATACAGTTTAAGAATATTTGACCTGAATTTTCCAGAATAATTAAATCCAACCAATTTTTCTACGTAATAAGATGATGATTCCCATATTGAATAACAATCACCATCACCCAAATCAAGGGCTAAATCCTTCATAGCTTGGGATTGGCTAGAAATTATATATGCCGGCGGTTGAAGGATTTTGGGGCAAGATGATGGAATAGCCATCGTCCCATGAATAATCCATATCCGATGCCATGGTTCCCCCACCCTTTGCTATATAGATCGTTCGTCTCTTTATAGTAGTAAATCTTACTGAGGATATATAGAGTCTCGCACTTTGATGCTGAAGCCGCTGTCTCGACTTGATTTTCCAAACTCGGCTAGCACCAATGGCTTCTTCAGTATGGTCTTTGCGTCTTCCAAATGACTCGTCATCCATTGGTCCATGAATTCCATTTGGGCCTCGTCTGTTTCTCCAGAAACCCTAAAAATAAACAAAATACGGAGTATTTTATAATCATATGTCAAAAAACTAATACTCCCTCCGTCCCTTTGAGTCTTACCCATTTTGACTTTTTAGCAAAATAAGGGGACCAATTTTTTGCTTTGACTTCCCCAATTTACCCCCCAACCCTAATCAAAAAGCAAAATTGCAATAACTCATGAATAGTGTAAAGCAAAATTTTATAGCTAGTGGAGTACGCATCACATTAACTATGGCAGGCAATCATACCCCAAAAAACCCATCCGTACTGCCCATATCTCAAACTACAGGGATTACATTCACCATCACCATACATTACATTCATTAAATTTGTTTAGATGGTGAATTTTTTAGGAAAATTTGATATTCCCTCCAAAACACCCCTCCAAAACCTAAACAAAAAATTACAAATTCATACAGGCACTGCATATTTAAATGAATGCATTCATTTCACTTATCTTCTTCACTTTATTATCTTTATCTTCTTACTGGCCCGGTTGCCTTCAATGCCCCCTCCCGAGCAGCCTTCTTCACCTTCGTCTTTATCGACACATGACTCCTCGTCGTTGCACCATCTACCCGATGTTATAGAAGTCCCCT